CCAGTCGATCGAATGCGTGACTAGTCGATGCCCATAGCATCAATTGTCTCGGCATACATGACGTTGAGGTCGCTGCCTTCATCCATCAGCACCTTGGTGAGGAGCTTCGTGCTGACGATCGGGTCGACCATGAGTGGATACCTTCCCCGGCTGTGTGATGCTATCTAGGTGGTCACATCGGTCGAAGGTGATGGCGGACTCCGACCACTAGAGGAAAGACGGTGTGGCTGGTTCGGCCGCGTAGACCTCACGGCATGTGATCTTTTGGTGGCGCTTGGAGTCGTAGGCTGCCGTCCCACCGAAGATCATGTGCCAGCCGTCTGGGGTCAGAAAGCCGCCAACCCTCCCCTTAGCGTCGTCTGCCGCCGGCTCAGGCTTCTTTCTTTGGTTCCCCTTGCCAGAGTCGTCGGACAGGAACCGCTTCATGAGGGCGCAGTCCTTGTACAGGTGCTTAATGGGGAAGGCGTGGTTTGGGCATGGCCCCTCGAGCAGCTTCTTGAAGTGTCAGGAGCATTCTCGGTGGGCGCCCAGCCACCTTTCCGCTTGATAGTGGCCACGAGCGAGCCCCTATGCTGCTGCTTATTCTTCTTCTTGTTTGGGCAGTTAGAGGGGCCCTCGCCGGCGTCCTCGTCCCGCCTCGCTTTTCCTTTGGAGCAATAAAAATTTGCTTCGACCGCCTCCTCGCTTGAGACGTGGTTGATCACGATGTCGAGGAGCTCCTTGGTGGTCCGAGGACCCTTACGTCCTAACTTGTGGACCAAGGACTCGCAGGTGTTCCCGGACAGGAAGGCTCCGATGACGTCGGCGTCGGCGACATCAGGCAACTCATTGCATTAGCTGGAGAAGCGTCGGATATATTTGCGGAGAGTCTCTCCGGACCTCTGTCAACAATTTTTCAGATCCTAGGGGCTCCCAGGGCGCGTGTACATGCCCTGAAAGTTTCCCACAAAGATCTTCTTCAAGGCCGCCCAACTTTGAATCTGGTTAGGCGGAAGGTGTTCTAGCCATGTTCGCGCCAAATCGGCCAGGAACAAGGGGAGGTTGCGGATAATGAAGTAATCACTATACGTGCCGCCGGCTTGACAAGCAAGCCGGTAGTCCTTGAGCCACAAGCCAGGGTTTGTCTCCCCAGAGTACTTTGGGACATTGGTCGGCGGATGATACCACGATGGGAAAGCCACGTCGAGGATATGCTGGCCAAAAACCTAGGGCCCTGGTAGGTCGGGGCTCGGGCTCCGGTCTTCGCGGTTGTCGTAGCGTCTGCCGCGATGAGCATGGTAGCCGCGGTCGGCTTCCTCTCTCTTGTCACTCCTTCCGCGCCTACGGGCGTCTAGGGTGCTGCGTGCATCACGGTTGGGGCCAAGACGCTCATGCATCGGGACCATGGCAAGTCCCCCGCCATTGCGCGGTGTCTGGTAGACAGACATGTCCCCGCCATGTCGTCCTAAAGACACGCGTTGACTGGCATCGAGCTCGCGTCACCGAGATAGCGAGTTTTCCGCCTGTTGCACCGCTACTCGCTCGAGCAACCTGCGGATCTCGCGGTGGGCCCAGTGGTCTTTGGGTGTCGCAGGCTCCGGGAGCCTTCGGAGTAGGGCCGCCACGGCAGCTATGTTCTGACTTACCCGGGCGAAATGTGGGAGGCCTCCGTCGTCCTCGACGATCCTCCGGTTTACGTCGCGGGTGATGGCACGTGCGCGGCCACCATCCCCGTGACGCTCGATCTCGCGTTCGAGCTCCGCGCGCTCCTGCTCCAGTTGGAGGCGCGCCTCTTCGAGCTCCCGACGCGACGCCCTTAGCTGTTCCACCTACATGCGGGAAAGGGCCTCCGCGTCTTCTTTGACTTCATCGTCGAAGTCGTTCGGTGGGGTAACCCCTCCCTCTGGACGCTTTCGACACATCTTTCGGAGGTACCTGTCATAAAACATTCTCGCGAGGGATGATGGCTCCTACTGGAGTCAGAGTCGGAGATCGACTCTGAATCTCCCGCGAGAAGATCGTGGAAAGACTCCACGACGTAATCGGCCATTCCCACGAATTCGTCACCCTTGGGACGCGGGCACATGCGTTGTACCGCGAGGTGACCATGGGGTAACCCCCTCCCTCATGTACATCATTATGTAATGTTAAAATTAATATGATAAGCTATAAAAAATAACTTGTAAATAGTTTCACCAGGTGTTTTGTTCCTCACGCCCCGCCCAAATCGAGAGCTTATACTGTTGCACTTATTAGGCTGAAGCCGGCCGATGAGCCATCTGGATACACGCATGCCAGGAGCTGTTTCAAGTTTGCAATATATATATATATATATATATATATATATATATATATATATATATATATACGCGCGCGCGACGGCGTTCTTTGTCAGATGTGGGTGTCGTACGGACACGGCAACCCGTCTGCGAGAAACAGCGGTCCGGCAGCGCTCGATCATCCCGCACAGTCCTCTGAACCGAACTACTTATGGGTGGGCAAGTGCGCTGCACGTCTGCACTGTAAACTGTAAAGGATCCGATGGTGCGCGATCTGTCGAGTGAGCGCTGTACTTTCGCTCCAGGTCAGGGTTTCCATACGCACTGACCCGAGCCACGTTTCTGTACGCTAGCTAGCTGAAGGCTCGCTTGATTCCGGACCTTCCTTGGAGAGCTCTCGGCCCCGCTCTCGCCGGATGCAGGAGCACGCCAGCACGTCAGAGAGAGTTAGGTCGCGCCTCTCAGGTTCAATTGCTCGGCGCCTCGTGCAAATGGGCCTGGAGCAGCGTTGCAACGCCAGCCAGCCATCTGCTCCGTTTCGCATGTTCTCGAGAAAAAAAAATGTGGTCCGTTTCGTCGGCGAGATATTTTCCTCGTGTGTGATTGGCCGCGATGCAAGCTTACACACGGCTATCAATCTTCACGCTTCTTGTTTGTATAATAATGCATTGTTTACTTGGCAAGGTTGAAATGAGCACCACCTAGCTGACACGGCGACTTGATAACTGGCTGACACGAGGCAGGGAGCCCTGTAGAGTAACGGACGGTACTGAGATATTCTAGGTTGCCTTGTCCTGTCTCTATGGTAAGGTATGGGGTTTCAATCTGTGGCCATCACTCGTGTCGCCAACTTTTCTGCGCTAAGATCTGTGGGATCGGTTTCGTGAACTCTGCGGATCCTCATCAATCACCCGTTTGACGGGGCTGAAAAAATCAGACGAATATGACTAATACGAGTCCCATTCCCTTCATACAAGGAAAGTAAAACCCTTCGATAACGACGGGTCAAGATAGAAATCATCGGCAGACAGAACAAAAAACAGGCTGCATTGGTCGTAGAACCTCGACATTTTTGCTGTTGTGATCGCCACGAGCCTCAGCATTTCACGTATTGAAACATGGCTCTCTCATAGGGACTCCCTCTCATAGCACCAATACGCCAAAGATATCTTCAGATGCGTCTGTGGAATCACACGAGTAATCACAGAGAGCAGTCTCTTTTCTTTTTCATCTTTTCGCGTCGTACAAGGCGCCAAGCAAAGTAGAAATGTTCATGCCGCAACTCGTTCCATCTGTCAGCGTCCGCGCACAACTGACAGCCGGCACACAGGCCTGGCTGGCTTCCCTTGCTTGCTTTGGGACCACGACACGACACCCGGCGGCTTGCGGGTGCCCGACGCGCGGCCGCTCGCCACGTAAAGCCGGCACGACGGCGACACCACGCAACGCAATAACGTATCGCGTCCCCGCCCTGATCGCGCGTCTCGGGAGTCGGGATCCGCGCGGCAATCGCACGGAGGGGGGTGTCGCGGACTCGCGCGCCGGGGGCCGGGGTGCCGCGCGACGTGTTCGGCGGCCCGGGACGGGACCTCGCTGTCACGGAGATCGCGCTGCTGGGTCCTCGGATTCGCGCACAAGATTTTCTTTCTTTCCCTCGGTACTTCTCTCTCTCGCACAAAACTGGAGAAATGCTTTTTGACGAGCTTGGGCGTCAATTTGTGCCAATTCGCTTTCCCGGATGCGATCGGGGCGGACGGACAGTGGGGCGTGGGGGTAACCGCAGCATCTCGCCGTTCATGCTGTGTCGTCGGGCTCGGGCGGCACCATTTTGCAAGCTTCTGTTCAGAACCAGCTGTATCAGGCATGAGCAGCGTTAGGGTGCCAAGCGTTCGCCGCTGCGTTCAGGTTCCTCACCTGCCGTTGTTCTCAAGGGCTCCGGACTCCGGACAGCTCATACAGAAAGCATTTTAACTCAGGCCACCCGCTCAACCGATGCTCGGAGGATACGAAAGCGGTGACACTAAACGCTGAACGACGGCTGGAGATGAAATTAACTCGCAGAACAGGATGGCGTCTTCGCAGATTTGCAGAGTGCCAGCACTAATCATATGTAAACCAAAACATTCTGCACCTGGTTCCGGTAGAACTGTACATTTGACCACGATCGTCGATGGATAACGGAACACAACCAAGAATAATTTTCTAATATGTACTATATAGTAGTGATGTGTAACTAAAAGGCACAACGTGATTGGTAGATGATATAAGAGAAGACATTTAGTTAGACAAAATTTAATTTTGAAAAAAAAACTGTCCATTAAAAATGTGGTTTCTATGTAATATCTACTCCAGAGTGCACCGCGTCAGGAAACAGTCGGATAAGCGGACGGAAAACACAACAGCCCACAAACGAATTTGGCCCATGAGAAAATTGGCACGCGCATGTACCCTTGGTCAGAAGTCGACTACAGTTCGACCAGGTGGAGCGTAACACTTCCTGCAGCATTGCTAGAAAAAAAAATCGCGGATGAAATTAAACTGTCAAAACAAGCTGGCGTCATTGCAGAATTGCAGAACACTGGTCAGATCTAAACACATCACATGGCTCTGACAGAATTATGTAAAGATGTAATGAACAATATCCAACATAAGCTCACCTTACATTTTATTGGCCTTTTCCCCCCAACTTCCAACACCCGTTATTGCAGTTTCCTCACCACAAAGAAACATGGCAGTTTCCGCCTAGGGCTTGGTTGGGTAAAACCCATTCACAGTCATACCTCCATCAACGGCAATCGTCTGGCCGGTAATATAAGTGGAACCCGGCATGCAAAGAAAAGCAACTAGTGCCGATATTTCTTCAGGTTCTCCAATACGTCCAAGCGGAGTCCGACTCACAACTTGTTCCTCGAAATCCTTATTTGCCAAAAGCTGCACAAAAGAAAGCAGTAATAAGAGGAAAGGACGGTTTAGGGTTTCAATTTAGGAAATCCTCCCTCCATTTCAGATTATAAGTCATTCTGGCTTTTCTAGACAATAGTTTTTACTATGTATATAGACATAATGTATATTCATGTGCATAGCAAAAGGTATGTATGTAGAAAAGCTACAACAACTTGTATTTTGGAATGGAGGGAGTATGATACAAACTTAATTCGTTAATATGAAACAATAGAAGATTCTTACTCTTTCCGTAAGTGAAGTGGTGATGTACCATGGAGCAACAGAGTTGGCTCTTATGTTGTCCTTTGCCCATTCACATGCTAAGTTCTTGGTTAGCTGGTTAATGGCACCTAAACAAGAATTTTAGCTGGTTATACATGCCACATGTCAACAACACCTTGTATTCATATATGACCAAGAGATAGAAGGTTGTTTAGTATTGGGTACAACTGTTACCTTTAGTCATAGCATATATAGTTCCACTAAAGACGGCCACCGCTCCACAAACAGATGATATGAATATAATGCTGCCTGACCCAGATAATTTCAAAAGAGGATGTGCAATTTGGCACAAGTGATATGCAGATTCAAGATTAGTAGCCATCACAAACGAGTATTCCTCTGCAGTAAATTCAGTAGTTGGTTTCCTTATGTTTGTTCCTACATTGTTTACCTAAAAGATCAAATGAAGAAATCCAGGATAAATCAACATGAAACAGATTCAGAAGCAAATTGCAGGGTTAACAAGTAACTTGTAGATAAAAATGTAGACACATTTTGCCATCAGTCAACATAGTTCCTGCCACCATTAAGAACTTCCAACCTCTCTGATCATGAATTCAACAATGTTCTGCACATGAACACAAAACTATCTCCACTGGGAATTTCTTCATGGAGTTTGATATCCTTTTGTATTGATAAAGAAGTAGGCCGATCATTTCATGTCTTGCCATAATATTGCACTGCCAAGATGTAAAGATTAAATTGAAAAGAACCGCCTGTCCCAAAATTTCTAAAGTTTGTATCATTTGGGTTGGGTATCTAAACTTTTAAAGGGCATTTAAGAAACTTACCTATTTAAAAACATAATTTAATCAGCAACTAGAGATAACATGGCACTTTTCAATAATCTAAATGGCAATTCGATCATGTGATCATCATGTGAAATCTATAAAAACCTATTTTCCTATTATTTGATTGTGGTTCAGTCGTCCTAGACCTCTTTTCAGGAAAAAGAATACTAAACATCTTGTAGGCGCATGATCGACGTTGCGTAACTTGAATAGGGTCAAACTTACAGGACACTTATCTAATGAAATGATATGCAGGCATGCAGCTCCTGTGTGTCCAAGAAAAAAAGTTACAGGACACGCTAGCAACTCGCTAAATCGGATTGGACCTGCATGGCTGCATCCATTCACTTAAAAGGGACCCAAGGATTTTGTTCTTTTCAATAGAAAAGGGAGCCAAGGGTCAAGACTAACAGCTTCCTGAAAAACAGTTCATTTCAATACTCCAAAGTTGATGTGCACAAGCACCAAAATAAAACCTCCATTCTAGTACTTGTTTTTGACATAGACAGCTTCAAAAAGAAATCCTATAAATCTTATTTGTAGGTACATGGTCAGTGTTGTTTAACTTGAATAGGATAAAAGTTAAATGACATCACTAATAGCCCATCAAATCAGGTTTGGAACTGCATCTATTCACTTGAAAAAGCTTATAGGTGCAGGGACCCAAAAGGTTATCTTCAAAAGATAAAAAAGAAAAGAAAAAGGAGCCAATGGTCAAGACTATTGACTTCCTACAATTCACTTCACTCAACTCCAAATTTGGTGTGCACAAACTGCAAGAGCCTATTGCTGTTCATGTCATTGATAATCAGTGTAGACAGTCTCCATTATACATCTTTGTCTAAAATAACTCTTATGAGGAATCCACTAGTATCATTACCATGTAAGTATTACATGGTAATGATACTAGTTTGGTTAGATGAATCTGGTGCAAATGAATGTGAATTAGGGATTTAGGCTTTGAAGTCAATAGGAATTGAGGTGGGATGAGGAATGAGAAATCGATGGTCTAAGTTCCACTTTTGTAATCACACTGAGGGGCACCATTAATGCTCTTTATCTTTACAGTCAGATGGACACCATCTCAACCATTCATTGTGATTTGCTTTAGCATGGCATACAATAACACCTTCCCACCTCTTTGCCAAATCGATACTGGAACCGAACCCTAATCCTACCAGGAACTCGGTCCCCCTAAACTCAACATTTCTATTCCTAGGTCCTAACCGTTGCCAATTGCCGAATTGAGAAACATACTTTCAATTGTAGTGCGGTCAAAGTTTTATACAGGCTATAAATCCACATTAGACATCGTAAATAAATAGGAACAAAAGGACGGGAGCAAGTGATCTTTTTGACTCACGAGGATGTTGAGCTTGCCGCCGAAGCGGTCGGCGACCTCGCGGAGCAGCCGCTCCCGCTGGTCCCTCTCAGAGAGGTCGCAGACGGAGCCGGTAACGCGGAATCCCCTGGCCTCCCACTCCTTGATGCGCTCGCCGAGCTCCTCCGCCTTCCGGGAGCATGTGTGCACGGTCGCCCCCAGCGCCGCCAGCTCCTCCACTACCGCACGCCTACACGACACGAACGCGAGCTCGATTGAATCTCCGTAGCAGGTTTGGAAGTGCCGGAAGAAACTAGATAGGCGTTTGAGGAAAGCCGTACCCGATGCCGCGGGTGCCGCCGGTGACGAGGGCTGTCTTGCCGTGGAGTGCCCATCTCCCCGAGGACCCTATCGCCGTGCCCGAGGTCTCCGCAGCGGCCATCTTGCTCCCAGTCCGAGCGTGCTAGCCGGCGGATGGAGGTCCGAGGTGGGGGGCAGTCGGCGGCGGGTTGGGGTTGGCTGCGGGCCGGAACCGGCCAGTCGACGGCGCCGGAGTTGCCACACGCGGGCGGCGGCGTCGGGTGTCGCGGGCGCAACGTCGCGACCCCGCGCAACCGAGTTACAGAGCGAACAGAGGAGCACTATAGTCTTTTCTCGTGCCCTGAATAGCGAGAAGGAAATATTGGAAATAAGAAAGGTGAGGAAAAAAAGAAATATCTCGGATTGAAAGAATTCAGGTGGGTAGGGTTATATTTTCAAAAACATGTGAATTGAATGTCAAAGCTGGTGAGACGCATGAGCTGAGGTCAAATATTAAAATTTTTACTTGCCTCGACGTGGATTGTGGAACTGATTGACGGGGGACGTGAGAACACTGCTCCCTCTATTTAAAATCAGAAGTCATTCTAATTTTCCTCTGAGAGAAGCCTCTCAAATTTAATCATAATTATAGAAAAAATACAAATATTTATAACGTGAAATAGATATTACTATAATACTATAAAAATATAAGTAATGAAGAAACCTAATGATACTTATTTAGTATCATAATAATTATTATTTTATTATATAAATTTAGTTTAGCTTGGGATGTTTTAACTCTCTAAGAACGTGACGCCTACAACACGTACGCATACTCACTTCTATGAACACACGTACACAAACCCTACCCCTATGAGCATCTCTGGAGGACTGAGCCGATAACTCTCGAAATTCACGAAGTCACCACATGCGCCTCGCAGTCGACGTGGTCGTCGCCTACGCCCACAACTCGCATGCATACTCACTCCTATGAACACATGTATACAAATCCTACCTCTATAAGTATCTTCAAAGGACTGAGCTGGTATATATCGAGACTCATCATGATGAGGACATCGCCATGCTGGACACACCGACGTCATGGTCTTCTCCAAGTTGCAATTCGTTCCCAACTCAGCTGCCACGTCGCCCTCGGATTCAGCAGACACGTCGTCACTGTTTCGATCATAACTTTCTCATATGACATCGAAACGGGCCGTTCTTGGATGCGTTGGAAAGGGGACGACGACGCCATCGTTTTGGATCTGGTCCCAGCTCCAGAAGGTCCGTGGATCATTCTGTGTGACCACGGCAAGGTGCTGCGTCACCTATTTGGGCCAACTTGGCCATGTATCGTGTCGGGCCTTAAGCCCAAGTTGTGGGCGTCCAACCCCTGGTCGTCCCCAACCCTAGGTCGAGTCTTAGACTATAAACACAGCCGCCGCCGCTACTACACAATTGGGTTTTGTTTAGAGTTTAGTTTTTCATCGAGAAACTGAATCGTTCATTGTAACTGTGGTGACAAATCCTTTTACAGTGATCCAGGGCCTCCGTTCTTGATCTCCTCCGCTGTGTCGATTAGTCCTTTGGAACCGAGTTCTAGAACCCTCTATTGATACTCGCGTCATTCATATTTGCAATATCAGATTGCGTGTTTTACCTTCTTGCTTGTGCTCTTCGATTCGCTTGTAGGAAAAGCCTTCTTGGTGAGGTCAATCAAGTTGTGCTTGGTTGATAACCAACGAAGCAGTGGTGTAACGGCTGCAGGGTTCGAATCGCGTCTGATTTGAAGCCGAATCGCCAACGTCGAGATCTCCACAAATCGAACTTACCGGCTACCTTTCGGAAGATCGGGCCTGTACCCATTAATTGGTATCAGATATTTCAGGTTTACCGCGAGGTATAATCTCGTTTGCCTTAGATTCGTATTTGTTCATTACCTAGAGTCTACAAAAAGCCCAAAAATATTTCAATTTTCGCTGTCCTCTCGCCCTTTGTGCCTTTGCAATTTCGTTTCAGATTCGTGTTGTTGAGTTTGTGTCCGTGGTCGAGTCTTGTTGCTGGTTTAGGATTGTGTTCGTGGTCGTAGTTCAATCGCCCGTTGCTGTGATTTTTGTTTTCCGCCGCTATCCCATCCACCGTTCCCAAACAACAAGTCGAAGCCACCACATTACTCGACTTGCCCCGCTAGCCGCCTTGTGTCACTTCTCGCCGCCGCGCAAACCCTAGACAGGTTGCCAGCCGCTCTTATTTTGCCTGCATCGTAGCCCTCCTTACATCATCAGGCGAATACCTACTACTGTTAGTCACAGTGACGATCCTGTGATCGGTGTTGAAGTTTCGGGACGCTTTGCCCTAACTGCCGCCGCCGTGTTGTGTCTCCCGGAAAACATACCTTGAGATACCTTCCGTAAAACAGGCATAACTTTTCGCTCGTTTATCCAAAAAATCTGAAATTTTTTCAGCAGCTTCTTGACACCATTTGGAGCCGACCCAAACTCGGCTTCGCCCTGTTTGGGTTCATCAAAATTGCCAAAAAATCGGGAAAATATAGAAAAAAAATTGTCAAAGTTTTTGCACGCTTTTCAGAGAACGTACTGAATTTCTGTAGACCACATCCCACCTCAGTTGTAGGTGCCAATTTTTGTGGTTGCATCTTTTGTGATCCTTGTTCAGAGAAAAGTATATAAAAAATAGTGAAAAAAGTAAAAAAGTTCGTTTCCTATTAGTGCCTTTTGGAATCAAAAAGGAGAAATCCGGGCTGCTTGTTCCGTGAGTTCTTTCGATCGTCCTTTGTTTTCACCTTGTTGCGCTACGTCTCGTCACGTCTTAGCCAGCACCTGTGATTTGTACTTTGGATCCGGATTGAACAATCATTAATCTGCATTCGTTAATTGCTAATCCTTGCTGTCATATTGTATGCCTACCCATAGCTCCATATATTCTTCTGTCAGCACAGGTTCATCTTGCAACTGTTACCCACGCTTCACAACAGATTGCTTCGCCACTTTGGTTTTGCTCCTGTTTTGCGTTGGTAAGAATACAGGCAAGACGGTGGTAAGCCGCTTGTGATTTTGCATTCCACTTTCACCACCATCACCACCACCACCACTTGTTTCCTTTTAGTTGATAGGGATAATACTTTGGTGTTATCTTTTTCTATCTTTTAACCATGGCAGGAACTCCGACGGACTTCAATGAGTGCGTGTCCAAGGGCGAGCTTACAACGTTCATGACTGAACAACGCAATCTTATGACCGAGCTGACGCGCAACGTGAACAATCTGGTCACCCGCATTGAACAGCTTGAGCAATGCCCTCCACCTTATCGTGCTGATGATGAAGATGCGGATGCTTTTAGTGATGAAGATACGTATGCTGACGGTGGTGTCCGTCGCCGCCTCAACTTCAATCGTCGCGGTATGGAAGGTAATAATCATGCTAATAATGATACTTTTGCTAAAATTAAATTTAGTCTACCTCCTTTTGCTGGTAATGTTGATCTAGAGGCATATTTAGATTGGGAGCTTGCTGTTCAACAAAAATTTGATTCTCATAATGTTCCCGCTGAGCATAGAGTTAGACTTGCTACTAGTGAGTTTACTAATTTTGCTTTGTTCTGGTGGAGTGATCTTTGTAATGCCAATAATGCTGCTGCTGTGCCTCAAACTTGGAATGTTTTAAAGCAACGTATGAAATCTCGTTTTGTTCCTCCTTATTACCAACGTGATTTACGTTTGAAACTACAAACTTTAAAACAAGGTGATAAAGGAGTAGAAGCATACTATCAAGAATTGCTTATTGGTTTAGCACGTTGTGGTATAAACAAAGATGATAATGATGCTAGTGCTAGATATTTTGGTGGTTTAAACCATGATATACAGAACATACTTGATTACAAAGAATGGCGTAATTTTTCTCAATTGTATCATCTTGCTATTAAGGCAGAACGAGAAGTACAGGGACGCAAACAACACCAGCCTTTCAGGTCTAACAATGGAAGGAATTTTTAGCGGCGTTCCGAGCCGGAGACGCCCAAGCTTCCTGTTGCACCACAGCCATCTACACCTCCATTTTCTTCCGGGATAAGTAAATTATCTAATGTACAGTTTCCACAGCTAAAGAAAGGTGGCACTCCGGGTGCTTCTACTAGCTCCTCCTCGTCCAGCTCTAAAATCATTTGCCACCGATGCAAAGGCATGGGACATGTCATGAAGGATTGCCCCAGTCGTCGCGCTTTCATTGCTACCGAGGATGGATATGTAAGTGCTAGTGATGTTGAAGATGATTTAGCCCTTCTTCGCTAACATTGATGCAGATTCCACCGAGGGCGATCAAGACAAGGAGGCCATCACCATTGACTCCGTGGGCTGCTTTGCCATGGACTACCCTAGCCTTCTTGTGCGGCGTGTGTTGAGTACACATGTGGGACATGAAGAAGAGATGAAGATCCAACGCCACAATTTGTTCCACATGTATCTCATTGTGCGGGGTTGTCGTGTTCTCACTATCATTGATGGCGGGAGTTGCAACAACTTGGTGAGTTCAGATTTGGTTGACAAGCTTGGCTTGACCACACGACAACATTCGTATCCATATAAACTTCAATGGTTCAATAATAGTGGTAAGACTAAGGTAACTAAATCAGTACGCATTAGTTTTTTTCACGTGCTCTTATCATGATATCTGCTGATTTTGATGTTGTCCCTATGCAAGCTTGTTCCATTTTGTTAGGTCGACCATGGAATTTGATAATGATGCTTTACACCATGGTAGAACTAATACATACACTATCATACATAAGGACAAGAAAATTACATTGTTGCCTTTGTCTCCTACGGATATTGTTAAACATGCTAATGAGATTAAAAATAAACCTCCAAATGAGACATTGCTAAAAATAATGGGATTAAGTTAAAAGGAGGTGCTTTTCTTGCTACAACTTCGCCTCTGCTTTGAGTTATGTGATAATCTGATGCACCATGTTATACTATGTTTTGTCAACCTTTTATGTCTGGTGCATTGCCTGCTGTCACTAACCTTTTGCAGGAGTTCGCTGATGATGGGATGGAGTCGAGAACGACTCCAATTCTAGAAGGAGGGGATGATGAGGACATCGCCAAGATGAAGTCGAGGACGACTCCAATTTGAGAAGGGGAGGATGATGAGAACATCGCCATGCTGGACACACCGACGCCATGGTCTTCTCCAAGTTGCAATTCGTTCCCAACTCAGCTGCCACGTCGCCCTCGGATTCAGCAGACACGTCGTCACTGTTTCGGTCATAACTTTCTCATACGACATCGAAACGGGCCGTTCTTGAATGCGTTGGAAAGGGGACGACGACGCCGTCGTTTTGGATCTGGTCCCAGCTCCAAAAGGTCCGTGGATCATTCTGTGTGACCACGGCAAGGTGATGCGTCACCTATTTAGGCCAACTTAGGCATGTATCGTGTCGGGCCTTAAGCCCAAGTTGTGGGCGCCCAACCCCTGGTCGTCCCCAATCCTAGGTCGAGTCTTAGACTATAAACATAGCCGTCGCCGCTGCTACACAATTGGGTTTTGTTTAGAGTTTAGTTTTCCATCGAGAAACTGAATCGTTCATTGTAACTGTGGTGATAAATCCTTTTACAGTGATCCAGGGCCCTCGTTCTTGATCTCCTCCACTGTGTCGATTAGTCCTTTGGAACCGAGTTCTAGAACCCTCTATTGATACTCGCGTCATTCATATTTGCAATATCAGATTGCGCGTTTTACCTTCTTGATTGTGCTCTTCGATTCGCTTGCAGGAAAAGCCTTCTTGGCGAGGTCAATCAAGTTGTGCTTGGTTGATAACCAACGGAGCAGTGGTGTAACGGTTGCAGGGTTCGAATCGCGTCTGATTTGAAGCCGGATCGCCAACGTCGAGATCTCCACAAATCGAACTTACCGGCTACCTCTCGGAAGATCGGGCCTGTACCCATCACATCAAGTCACCACATGCGTCTCACAGTCGACGAGGACATCGTCTACCACTGAAAGCATAGCATTGTTAAATTATAGAATAAATCTAGAAAAAATACGGGTACTCCTGCCTCAAAGACTTGAATCCAATTTGGCAGGTTCCACCAGAAGAAACCCAATCAACCTATTTATGATGAGTTCACAGAATAACTTAGAATTTGTAAATGAGGGAGTATCGAAAGATCCATCCGTGAATTCAAATTAGCACAGAGCCATCATAGTTTAAGTAAAAAATAATTAAATGTATATTGATGTAACAGGTGTCATACAAAAAGAAAAAATCTATGGATGTGGATGAAAAACATAAAGAACAATATGATTGATAACCTTACCAAACCACATATGCACAAAGATTAAGAAATATGTTAACACAGATAAAAACATATAAATTAGTATAAGTCTTCCATCCATCCTAAAACAACTAATGTTTTAGATTTGTTCTAACTCAAAGCATTTTAAGTTTGACTAAATTTATAGAAAATAGTATTGATATTTACGACACCAAATAGATATAATATAAAAATATATTTAATGAAAAAATGTAATACTCTACCGTTCTAAATTATAAGATGTTTTGATTTTTTAGATACATAGCTTTTACTATGCACTAGAATATATACCATGTCTACATAGTAAAAGCAATCTTATAATTTAGAATGGAAAAAATATTAATTATTTGGTATCATAAACATTAGTACCCTTTTTAAATATTAATTTAGTCAAACTTAAAATAGTTTGACTTAGGACAAACATTAGTATTTGTTTAATTATAGATATTAAACATTAATATTTAATGCTTATGACTCATAAGATTGTAACCCGTGCAGAGCATGAGTTGATAGGCTAATATAAAGTAATTGGTAACTAAAGTCTGTTACAAGTTTATAATTAAACCAAGATAAAAAAAATCATATATAAATATCATGTTAGAATATGAACAAATTAGAGAGAGTGACGACAAGCAAGTATGATTGTCTATGTACTCCTAAATTTTCCATGAACTCCTGACGCATAGCACGGATTTATAGGCTAGTGAAAAAAAAGATTATATTCTGTGATTCTGCATGGTTATCCCTAGTTGAAAGTCCACTATTTGTTGGACAAAATCCCAGAATACATGAATTCGTGAAGGCACCTTTAATTTCCATGTAACAGGTTGAGCTCCTCTAAGTTCAACATTTGTCTTCCTAATTTTACATCATCATTCATCCGGGAAAGAATATCTTCACTTCAGACTTAACCACACGCTGCCCGTGCTCCAGTTTGGTTTGTCTCCCGGAGCCTGTTCGCTGTTGTAGTCGTTGCTAGTGTTCCCCTGACTCCGCTGCGTTCTTCTTGGCCTCGGTCCAACGGATTCACCGGAATCCCCGGATTCCATGCTGGTGCTGTAAGAGTCTTCTACTGTTGTAATTTTGAAAACGCCACCCAGATCATCTGCTCGTGCTTCCCCCTGCAGGTATTTACGGATCTGCGGAGCACATCAACATCATGTCAAATTTCTGAAGCAAACCACAAGAGTTGGAATTGAAACTCAGCGGCGCGTGGTCATAGAACGAACCTGAACCATGGATGGACGCTGCAGCGCTGATTGGCGCACAGCAGCTGCAGCGCACTCGACCATCCGCATCATTATGGATGGATCGTAATCACTTCCTAGTCGTGGATCGATAAGGCTTTGAAGGCTGCCATCCTCTGCAACCTGCTGAATCAAGGGTCTAGCCTGCAGAAGCAACCGCATATATAAGAATGAGCTTTCAGGATTTGACCTAAAAATACCATCTGATAACAGCAGTTGTTGTAAATTCAGGAACTTGTTTCTGATGGACTGACCCAAACAACTAATGTGTCATCCATGTAGGACTGAGATGACTGAACCGGTAGCCTTCCAGTAATCAGCTCCAGGAGAACGACGCCAAAAGAGAAAACATCAGCTTTGTCAGTTTTCCACTAGATAAAAACTCTGGAGCTATGTACCTGCAGCAGGAAAGAAGTAAAGAGGGGTGGTTAGACGCTCATCCGCTGAAGAAGTTTATGTTGCAAACAAAGAAATAGAAAATTTCTTTAATGATGGTGCTGTAGAATGGCAACGATAGAAGGACTGACCCGAAAGTTCCCATTATTCTTGTGGAAACATGAGTGTGATCTCCTGGTTGATACTTTGCTAACCCAAAATCTGCAACCTGCAAAGAATTAGGACATACTAATAAACAAAGGTTTATGTCACTGCACATTGTTGAAGACCATCTATGCTTGATGAACTTAACAGCGTACTCCTAAAGTTCAATTAGAACCAATATTTTGTTTAAGTGCAGCATTAGGTTACACCAAAGGTTACACTTGAAATGCTGTGCACTCGGTTTAGAAAACACAGAACCCATAGCACAGCTGCTGTTTTGCATGGCATGTACTGCAATATTTTCTCCATATCGGTCAAAAATGATACCTTGGGCTCAAAATTATGATCAAGAAGAATGTTGGACGCCTTGACATCACGATGTATGATTTTAGGATAACCTGACAATAAGTAGCTCGTCAGAGTTCAGTATTGCTCTTCTAGACGCGAAACTGAAGGCAACAAGAAATGTGCAGAAGTATATATTGACTAACAGTCGTCATGAAGATAGGCCAGGCCCCTTGCTGATCCCACAGCTATTCTCCATCTTTGATGCCAGTCAATCGGTTGGACCATTGTGCCCTATGTAAAGGCAATAACATTCATCGAGCATGCAAACATACAGGACTGGAGGACCAAGAACTTCCAGTTACTTACCGTGCAAATGGGAGTCTAGTGTCTTATTGGGGACAAACTCGTAGACCAGCAACCTTTCGTCGGAGTAGATACAGTACCCGATCAGCGTGACAAGGTTCCGGTGGTGCACGCGGCTGATGATCTCGACCTCGGCCCGGAACTCGCGGTCTCCCTGCCGGCTCTCCGTCTTGAGCTTCTTGATCTCCACCTCGGCGCCGTCGAGCCTCCCCCTGTACACGCACCCGAAGCCGCCCTGCCCGATGATGTTGCCGGGGGCGAACCCGTCCGTCGCGGCGGCGAGCTGCTCGTACGAGTGCGAGCCTCCGGTCGGCAGCTCTGTGACGATGTCCACGGAGTGCAGGCGGTTCTCGGATCCCACGTCCGACTGTCCGAGAACGTGCCGCTCGTCTGGGGAGGTGTGGGCCGCTGCTGCTGCGCGAAGTAGTGCTCGGACGGCGCTTGCTGAAGTACTGGCCATGTCGGGCCATCTGAAACACCACGCGTACGCATGCACGCAAGTACCGAGCTGTTAGCGACTGTGTCCGACAAGGAGTATGCCTGAGCACCTTGTTGGCTTGTTCTACGTACCTTTGTGGTAAACCATCGGTGCTGGCAGTGGCAGCTGAGGTGGTACCAGTACCACCGGCCGGCGCCGGCGCCGTCTCCTCCTCCGCCGGACGAAGCAGGCCACCACGCACAAAACCAGAAGCACCGTGGCCACCACGGCCCCCACGATGATCCAGTGCACGGCGCGCAAACTCAAGGTCCACGAGTCACTTTTTGTGGTCACTGGGGCCGCGTATGAGGCTGAGGCTGGGCAGCCTGATCGCTGGGCTGGGGCTGACTGGGCTGGCCAGCCCCCTCACATGGCTACTATTTACGCGAACCAGCCAGCAGCACTTCTCTCTCACATAAACATTCAGCCAACACTACATTTTATTATATTACACGAAATATTCACATCAGTCGTCGCTCTAACAAATTTATATCATCCTACTACCATAAATTGAAACTTAATGCAAATAAGAATGAATTCTAAACTCCATTGTTCTTGAGCTTTGCGAACATTTTAAACCAGTCAAATCAAAGAATTGTTTTATTAAAAAAATTATACATGTCATCATGTTAGAGAAAAAAAACATGAGTCATATTTATTAGCCCACATGTCCTGTTCAAATTAGCTAAATCCACTCTCCACTCGAATAGATCAATGTCCCAACAATGCTGGTTCACCTAGCCACCCGAAAGGGAATTGCCCTGAGAAAGGGAAGCCGTTTCAAGAGAATCATGAAAAAAGACATAAATCAAGGGCAGTGGACTGCTGTCACATTTTTAGAGAATAGAAGCCGCCTTACACCAATCACTGGAACAAAAGTTGCCATCTTACAGTTTGAAACTCATTTATCAATCAATTATTTAGATAGAGAAAAGAAGGAAGATACTCCCTTTGAAGATTATTGAGACTTTTAAAACAAGTAGCCTGACTAAAATGTACAACTGCATACAATATCACTATCTCTGCTTAAATGCACATATTAAATTTTGGACATACAATACAGTATTAACTTACTGCCATTGCAGAGTATCCATGCATTAAAGAAAATATGCCATAGGGATATACAACAAGAAGCACATGTCTCTGATACGTAGAATGTATGCGCATTCAGTACAGCATATTAGTTTTCAACTACCAATTTTACCCAGGATAACAAGATGACTGGAGGATCTTACAATGATAAGAGATTGGTAAGATTTCCAAGTTCCTTTGGAGTGGTCAGATAGTGCATTGATGCCCACAGTCCTTGTGATTTTCAAGGAAAAGAATGTAAGATTGCTTGAACGCAGGAACTGCAGCACACTTTTGAGTTTAGAATATTACATTGATTCCAGAGCAACGGGTTAACACACTTAAAAAAGCAGTTGTCAAATGAAAGTCATCTTGATGACTGAATTGTATTTTGTTCTATGCATGCAAATATTTCAAGGCACAATTCAACAAACTCTTGAACATGTCGTCAATCTAGCAATCATAATTTTTGCAAAACTAAATTGATGATCAACAGTGGAGCTATATCAAGAAACTCATAGCTTCCAATGCATCTGTTGGTACAAGCACTGAAAAAAGAAATAATTTCACCCTGAGACACCAAGTAAAAGTAACATAAAGAAGCTGGTAAACAGCTTGATTTTTAAAGACTAATGTAAGAATAAGCATACTACAGCAACCATACGAACTGAGCAAGCAACTAAGGGTTAGGGGAAAATAAAAAGAAAGAAAAGAGTAACAGACAAACTAACAAAAAACACTGAAACAATTCCAATAGAGTTCCGAGGTACCTCCATCCTGCGAGCGACAACATCGGGGTCAGGGGCGGGGCATCGCCATTGCTACCGGGGAGCCGGTCGGCTCCGGCAGTCCTCCGTATGGGTGCCGCCGCGAACAAATGGTAAATTCTTCAAGAGGGAGCGCCGATATCTGTTCTTGTAAGTTGTAAGTGACCCACCCACCCAAAACTACACACGGTCAGGAAAAACATACTTTAATAGAAAGGAGGAAATAATGCTTTAAGCTTATTACAATACCACACAAAGTAAACCAAACTGAGACATATCAGTTTCATTACATTTTTCGAGTCACCATCAGTTGAGCCACATTCTGTTTTAGTGGGTCAATACTCAATACTCAATATAGAATACAAAAGGAGTGAGATTTGGGAGGGAGAGGTCCGGCATGTAGGGCGAGCAGAGGGAGGCGAGCGTGCAACTGCGGTGGGGAACGCACGTGGGGAAGAAGGGGCAGGCTAAGCGTCGGGAAGAGGAGGGGAGTGGACGATGGTTTATAGAGCATTAGATCATACCATCTATCTTCCAACGATAATCAAACAAACCTTTTCAAGATACTGAGAAGCTTGATTTACTCACATCTGCCCTAATATAAAAAAAAACCTAGCAAGCTAACCAAAGGCTTGTAGTTTGGACACATACACCCAACTTGAAGAGTTGTTGATGGTGCCAAGAGTTTTGGTCACAAACCCATCAAAGAAAAGGGGTAAACATATCAGGTTGGTCACAAACCCATCAAAGAAAAGGGGTAAACATATCAGGTGGTGCCATTGTTTGTGCCAGAAAATTTAAGTCACCATATTAACTGTCATTCAGGTAGCAACAGTCAATGCACAGTTCATAAAAAATATAAATTTAAAATTGATCTGTAGCCAAGTAATTTCAGCCACACTCAAAGATAGTTCAAAAGGAATTAACAAGTTAGTTCGTCTGAAAATTAAGAGAATCACAGCTGTTGAAAATTACCTGCAACATGGTAACAAAATTTGCTTGAATTTTTTAACCACTATCAGCGGCAAATTTGTTCACATCATCCCACAGAACATGATAATGACAGGTACTGCTTGTTCCCAGCAAAGACTCTGAATCATGAATCAGACATTTCCATCATATAGTGTAGTAAACATAAATAAATGGATTTCAACAATTATGTAGGGACACCATCCTGAATGCCGGCACAGCTATACAAGTATATAAATTAAACTCAGTATCTTGACTAACATGTGAATCCACCACGTTGCCTATATCTAGGATGAAAATAAAACAGATTACTGTCATTCTCTATACTATCGGAAAAGAAAAGGAAGCTAATAAACTCACAAGCTTTTTACCAGAATACAGGAACACCAGAAAGAAGCTAATGAACGATCAATCACCGTAGTAATGATCTTGGAGAAGAGAGAGGAAACAAGAGGCATAGAGGCGGCAGTGCGTTCACGAGAGATGGGAGAGGAGATGGTAATTGCGTGAGGGGCTCCACCTCTGGGCCCTGTGACGTTGCTAGGGTTTGCGCCTCTGCCATTGCCGTCGCGGCTGCAGCCGTTCACTATTTGAAGGTGTGAAGGATGGAGGCCGGATGGGATCCGGTTGCTGACATGGAGGATGGTGAGGGCGGAGGATGACTGACCGATGGAGGATGGCGGGGCGACCAGAAAAACAGCGGCAGGGCGAGGGAGGCGGCGTCCGATCCTGCGCAACTGAGAGCATCAGCATTGCCGGTAAGGGTGAGGGCGCCGCTGCAGTCGGTGCGGGCCGGATCTGGTTTGGGCGCCGTCGTTGTCGTGGGAGAGAGGGCACAGGAAACGCGGCCGCCGACTCACGCCCTGAGGCGCCGCGTCACCGCCGAGGCTGCCTATCGCGGTGAATCCGGGAGGCGGGCGTGCTCGTGTGCTCGGCGACGGTTTCCTCTCGTCTCGTCGAACACGCAATGGAGGAAGGGAGGGTGGGTACGCGGGGAAAAGGAAGGGAGGGTGGGTACGCGTCGGCGAGGAGTCACGACGCCTCGCGTGGATCGCGGGCGCGGGTACAGGGGGTGTGTAAAGAAAACGCCAGTGAAAAAAGAACCACGTCGGAGTCGTCCGCGAGAGACAGAGGTGCTGTAAATGTAAAGAGTTTCCGACGAAATTATGGCGGGTCCACTTGTCAGATCAGCTTGAAGAAAGATGGGTAGAAAATAGGGTTATTTGCATCCACGCCATTATAATTCTTCAACTTTGAAGATCTGGCATTACAATTCACCTATTCTGAAACTTACTATTACAATTCTTCTTCTATATGATATTTGCCATTTTCTACGTCTTCCGGGTGTCTGGGCCCACTGTCAGGCCGTATACGTGTACACATCTTTCATATGGACCAAAACACCCTCGGTTGTTTCTTTTCCTCCACTCACTGACGTGTCGGCCCTACACGTCAGATTCTCCTTCAACCTCCAGTAGTCTTCCTCCTTGAGTCTCCTCTTCCTCCACCGTCCAACGAGGGGGGGGGCGGCGCTTGCTGCTGCTGCGACCGACCATGGTGGCGTGAGGGATCTTTGCTCAAAAAGCATTCTGGGGGCTCATCTCTTTTCGGCATGGTGGTGGTGTTGTCCACGTTCGCCGTGTTCCTGGCGTAGCACTTTCGGGAGGTGGCGGGCGCGTGCCTCGGGCGTGGTGAGTTAGGCTTGTCGAAAAGTGGCGTGGCGAGGGCGTGAGGATGGGCGGATCTATCGCGGCGGCGGCGGTGCTTTGCTTTCGCCGCCTGTAGCGCTGAGGAGCAGCATAGCAGCGACCGGTGGCGATGCTGCCTTCGGGTTAGTAGGGCACGCTCGTGCAAGCACAGCAAGCGAGCGGCGGCTCTGACGGCGACGGGTTAGCGAGCGGGAGCCATGGGCCATGGCTGTCGGCATCGGAGCGCTCGTCCTCGTCCTGCCGCCACCGACCTCCCCGTCCGTGGCCGGCGACCGGGTGCTCGTCCTAGTCCTGCTGTCGCTGACCTCCTCCGCTCCGTAATCCTCGACTCTCTCGCCTCGCTCCTCCGAGTCATCGACGACGGTAATCTCGCACTCCCCCTCGTCGTTGCGGCGCGCGGTCCCGTTCTGCGCCGCGTAGCCCAAAGACCGTGGCCGCCCGACGACGAGGCGAGCGTCTTCTTGGCAGTAAAGTAGCGGGTTGACCGCCCGCGACTCCTCCCTCTCGCCTCCGCCCTCCTCCGTGTCGGCGGCGGGAACGACACGGGCAGCTCCGTCTCCGTGCTTGGCTGTCCTGTTCTACGCCACCATCGTCGTCAGTGAGTGGAGGGAGAATCTGACGTGTGGGACCCACACGTCAGTGAGTGGAGGGAGAGAAGCAGCCGGGGGTGTTTTGGTCCATACGGAAGATGTGTACACGTATACGGCCTAACAGTGGGCCCAGACACCCAGAAGACGTAGAAAATGTTAAGTATCAGGTAGAAGAAGATTTGTAATGGCAAGTTTCAGAATAGGTGAATTGTAATGGCAGATCTCCAAAGTTGAAGAATTATAATGGCGTGGATCCAAATAACCCTAGAAAATATTTGGGTGATAATCTATTTTCAATTCCTTCGCTCCTTATAGATAGATAGATTTGCAGGTTCCGCCACTGGCCAACGGTGTTAACAACAAGAGGATATTAAAGTTTAAGCCTAACAATCACTACTTACACCAAAGAATCTCAAAGACATTGGAGGTCATAGTCGTCTTTAATTTGCACTAACCTCCTTTGATGCTCATGATGTTGGGTTTTCTTATCAAAGAATTATGTGTAACAATATCCAAAGTAGAGTACTTTCGATTATCATGTTAATAAACATTGATATGTTATAATGCTTCAGTCAAAATGTATAGATTTATCTAAAATAATATATTACATGAATTGTTGACATGGATACTAATATAATTTTAAGTAATGTGCTAGTGTCATTGTATATCAATATTTAATGGAACATTTTTCATGGTTGCTAAACCATAAATATATGTTTACTTTAAGTTAGTTTCATTATACATTAATATTAATAGATTTGGGTAATTAAGAAACATATAAATGAACTGTTGTTTAAATAATTTTATCATGGCAGATGCTGGTAACTTAGAATTTGATCTAAGGGAATACTCTAGTTTATTTTAGATAATGGCATAACTGGTAGATGCAAATTAAGTATTCCATCAGAATAGGAATACAGAAGAGAATATCAACTGAACAATAGTCAATTCACTTTGAAGTGCAATGCAAATGGAAAAAATTATAAGTAAGGGCGAAAAGGTAGATAAACTAATTGTAACTAAATAAATAAAGTTTATCAGAGATAAAGAAAAAAAGTATTTATGAGTGTTGTGTTAGAATATGAACACATGAGATTATTTCAACTAAGGGCTCTTCAACTAAACGTATGTTAACACATACTAAGGTGTGATAAGTAGGATGGGCATTAAAGTCTATTACACTAGATAAGTAGATATAGATAAAAAAAATATCTACACTAGTACTGTGTTATAATATGAGCATTGAGCAATATAAGCAGTTTTGATTAGTCATGGATTCTAAATTTATATATAAATATTAGGCATGTGCGGCAACACCAGTACGGATAAATAAAAAAGAACAGATATATATATAAGTCTCTGTCCTCAATTTGGCAGGTAGAGGAAAGGTTGCAACAAAATTGTATCGTCTTCACCTCTTCGGAGATGCTGATGCTCCATCGCGTCAGTTGCCATGTCCCTGCAGCGGCGGTTGTCTTCTGTCTTCTCCAACGCCGATGCCAAGAACGCGTGGTGGAGTTGGCTCCGGCGATCTCTGTACGCGCTCATGCTTCTTTCCTTGCCATACTTCGCCTACCTCGCATTATTCTCCCGGAACAGCATCCACCATAGCCTTCTGCAACGCCCATTTTGCGAGCATCCTCCTGCGCCCGCAGCAGCCGCCCGCTCACCGACCACTCTCGCCCACATCGTCTTCGTCATCGGCGCGTCCAAAACAACGTGGGCAAAGCGCGGGGTGTACACCAGCCTGTGGTGGCGGCCGGGGGCAATGAGGGGCCACGTCTGGCTAGACGGGGAGCCCTCCGGCCCCTGGCACCAATCATGGCCACCCTACCGAGTGCTGCAGCCGAACGCGGCACGGTTCGGCAGGAAACACGCAGCCGCGGCGCGGATGGCGCAGGCGGTGGCCGAGGCCTATCACGCGACCGCCGCAGCGGCCGTGGGGCTGGAGGAGGGCGCTGACAGCGGTGAGGCGCGGTGGCTGGTCATGGGCGATGATGACACGGTGTTCTTCCCGGAGAACCTGGCGGCCGTGCTCGACAGGTACGACCACCGGGAGATGTACTACGTCGGGTCGAGCTCCGAGAGCGTGGGCCAGAACGTGGCGCACTCATACGCCATGGCCTTTGGCGGCGGCGGGTACGCCATCAGCTTCCCGGCTGCCGCGGCGCTCGCCGGGATCATGGACGGGTGCCTTGACCGCTACAACGAGCTGTACGGCAGCGACCACCGCGTCCAGGCCTGCCTCTCCGAGCTCGGCGTGCCGCTGACCAGAGAGCCCGGCTTCCATCAGGTAAATACGTCGTTCACATTGCTAACAATACAACAGTTTTTACTCACACCCACCGTGAACTCGGTTCACTACTGGTGTTGGCTGGTCCTGCCACGTACCGACGAGGGATGCTTGTCACGACTCATGCCCAGAGACAAGGAGACGCAAACCTCAGGACGTGCAACAAAATCTCTGCGGTTGCGATGTTCATGTCAGTTTTGTTGGCAAACGTGTCAGAGTGGTCTTTGCTTCTATGGAATTCTGGATCAAGGGTGCTGACAGCTGAGGTAGTGGAAAAAAAGCTATCGTGGTACAACACATGTTCGTTCAGAATGGCTTTTCCGGTTGGTAGAAGCAGGACGCACAGTTAAATGGAGCCGATCTGGATGAACCCAAAGAGGACCCATCAAAACAAATCATCGCAGAACAGGCGCCGTCCATTCGTTCGTTCACTCACATTTTTGTTGGTTGCGTTGCCTTCGTACTGCGTTGCAGCTGGACCTGAAAGGACACGTGTACGGCCTGCTCGCGGCGCACCCGGTGGCGCCGCTGGTGTCGCTGCACCACCTCGACCGGCTCAACCCGATCTCGCCGAACTCGCTCAAGCGGCTGCACGCGGTCCGGTCCCTGGTCGGCGCGTCCCGCCGCGACCCGGCGCGCACGCTGCAGCAGTCCATCTGTTACTACCGCCCGCGGTCGCGTCCGCGGGGCACCGTCACCCTGTCCGTGTCCGTCTCCTGGGGCTACATGGTCCACCTCTACCCGTCCGCCGTCCCGCCGCACGAGCTGCAGACGCCGCTCCGGACGTTCCGCGCGTGGTCCGGGTCGCCGGCGGGGCCGTTCACGGTGAACACGCGCCCGGAGGCCGCGCCGAACGCTACCGCGCTGCCATGCCACCGGCGGCCCGTCATGTTCTACCTGGACCGCGTCACTACGGAGGAGTCGCTCGGTTCGGCTGGGCAGAAGCAGAACCGGACGCTGACGGAGTACGTGCCGGAGCTGGTGAGCAGCGACGCCTGCAACGGCACCGGCTTCGACGCGGTCGCCAAGGTGCAGACGATCCGAGTGCTCGCACTCAAGATGGATCCTGCCGTCTGGAAGAGGGTACGTGTGCTCAACTGCTCATGCATGCACACATGTTAGAGACATAAGTTAAACTCCTTTGTTTTTTTTTGTGACTAGTTCCTTTGTTGTTATGAACCTATTATTATGATCCATCAACTATGTTGGTACTGTTGAGATGCTAATGATCTTGCCTTTGTTTTTGTCTTGAACTGCGATTTTAACCCAGGCTCCACGGAGGCAATGCTGCAAAGTGGAGAGCTCGAAGGAAGATGACTCTCTGGTTGTCGAGATCTACGAATGTAAGCCTAATGAGGCAGCACTGATGAGGTAGCAAAATACTATAATGACCAGGTTTATACAAATACAGCTGAATTGGTTTATTATGTTACTTGTGCGGACATGCGGTGCTAACTCGAAGTGTTTTGTCTTGTTTGATAGGCACATGGTTGTGCGTGGAAAAAGACTGATTTAAATATAAATTAGACTTCCCTGATCACTAGTGTCAAAATTAGAATATAAGTAAAATCAATACTGACGGCTCCTTCGTTCCGGAGACGCTCCAAGGCAGCTGGGGCTTCATTGTACGCGACCATGATGGTGATGCAGTCCTGGCCGGGGCTGGATGGTTGGGTGCGGCACCAGATGCACACACTACCGAGGCTACAGCTTGCCAACAAGCTCTCCAAGCGGCCACGATTACGGTATATCACGCATTCAGGTTGAGGTTGATTCGTCTGTTCTACAGCACGCTCTACAATCTTCAACTATGGATTTGGCGACCTGTGGGATGATGATCAAGGATACTCGTTTCATGTTACGAGAGCATTTCGTATGTAGTGGCATTATTTTTATCCCTAGATCTTGTAACTCTGTCGTCGCACATGACTTAGCAAAGCTTGCTATGAGTTAGGACCCGGGTGACCTATATGTTTGGGCACACCCCCTCCTAGAATTTGTAAATACTCTGGTTGCTCGCAATTTAGTTAAGCCAGTGTTTCCAATGGAAAGGCCATAGAGCCAACCTTTGATTCAAAAAGATTAGAATATAAGTTGCTTTGGGGTGTTTGGATTCATTGCTCGTGCACATCTCATCTCGCTGGGCAAGAAACTAGAACAGACGTGCGTTTGTTTCCTTTACCCACCTGCCTTGTTTTCTATGCAAACAAAATTTTTCCTTACTAGTTTGGGAGAGCCAATTCGACCCACCTAGACTGGCAAAGCTAACATTGCTAGGCATGGTGAGACGAGAAAACGTGGCGAGGAAACCAAGCGACTCTAAAGTTTTTGTAAGACAAACTTCTCTTGATTTAACCAAGTTTATATATAAATAAACATATCAAATTCTACAAATAAATGAATTAATGAAACCGGTTTGATATTGTAATGTTGCTATACTTTCCTACAAACTTCGTAAAGTTGTAGGTGCTTAACTTAGCACAAAACAAAAAATAATTTGTATGTTGGAAGAGGAGATATCTCAAACAAGTGACTGTCAGACACTTTAGTAGGGAATGCCTCTTTCGATACTCACGTATTGCTCGTTTTCCTCCTTCCTCCTTATTCTAACTCGTGACTGGTTGCATATTTGAGTGGACGAGCAACTATTGCTAAAAAGATATCGCTAAAGAAGAAGAGGAGGGCCACTGGCTTTAGAGCTAGAAGTTTGGGAACCTAGAGCCGCACTCTCCCTGAGGCCTAGACGCCTAGTTTCTCCAACAAGAGGCAATCCAGACTGTAGGGAGCGCCGAGGAAGCAGGGCATGAGGCGGCCGGGACAAGTCACCACGAACTTCTACGTGTCAAGGATTCAGGCATTTTCATGCATTTTCATGTTTAATTTAATTCAGAAATACAATAGCAAATTCGTGACGACATACATGTGTACATGTGACCTAATACTACTCGCAACAATAGCAAAAGCATACAAGACGAGCATACTGATCAAAACGATTATATTACTAAATTGAACAAATTCAGTAAGAGATGTATACCAGCGGAGGGACCAGAGCCGAAAGCTCCAGTGGCTCCATGTGCACTAGGAAGTAGACGTTGTAGAGATATTGCATGTTCAGGGAAGAAGACGATGAAGCAGTCTCGTCGTGCACTCCCAAAAACTTGATCGCCAAACACACCTGAGCAAGTGTCACGAAGCGAACGACGTTTCCTGCGCGCACACAAGGTAGGATCGAGGAAAGTCGGGAGCAACTTCAACATATAGAATAGGTGCAGTATATCTGTGTCTCGTACTCGCGAGGCTCGATAGGACAAAGTCTTTATGCGCACGAGTGACGGAGGGTCGGGGAATGCGAGCCAGCAAAAGCTAGAAGGTTAGGGTCGAGAACGTAAGAGGAGTTACAAACAGAAACTCCTGCGATATCTTTACCCTCAAAATATGTTCTATAGGACATCTTTGCTTCAACAAGCCACTTAGAACACATTAAGGTATAAACCAATCTGCCTTACAAATAGGAGAGAAGTGCGTCTCAGACGACATGCATGGACCTTAATATTAAGGCTTTCTCCTAACAGTCTACCACTAACTTATTTCATCATCCTACTCCACGGGATTTTCGATCACATAGGATATGTTACCACTATGATAGATTTTATGTGTGAAAGTGCATCTAGCCCTTTAGTGGGTTTTGGATGATTGAATGACAACGTGATTAAAGGACTAACCCGTTTGCTAAGTGTGAACAGGTAATAGGTTATCTCACAGGTACTTAATGAAAGCCAAAATGATGTGTTGTTGTATAAACAATCTAGTTCGAGCACAAGACAACAATGCAAATGGAATTCATGTGAAGGCTTATTTTTTGTGGGATTTCCATTGACTATGTGAAAGCAAGCTCATGATTATTAGTTAATGAGACATGAGGGATTGCATATGGAATGGTCTCATATTTGAAGCTTGCTAAATTAAAATGAAAAAGATAACAATACATATGAATGGATGATTCAACACAAGATGTGACTTGATGGCTTGAGATGGTGAAGATAGCAAGGAAAGGCTTGAGGTACTAAGCAAGGGTGAAGGGCAAGTTGGCGGCTTGCGGCGAAGAACCTAGCTAGGGTGAAGAAGAAAGTACTTGCATTTAGTTGAGGTACTAATCAAGCTAAGATGGTCATATTGATGTGAAGAATCAAATCTATAATGAAGTATTTGATGGAAGTGACTTGATACATTTGGGGTTATTCAAATTTGATGAATGGAATCAAGTCACATGCTCAAGATGGCTATGCTCAAATGAAAAGATCAACATCAACTTGTTAGCACCCTTACTTGATGAAGATTGGAAGGACGGCATCAATTCAAAAGAAATCAACTCAAGTGGTATAAATTCATTTTCTTTTGATCTTGAGTTTAATAGGTATGCCGTACTATTAAGAGGGATGCATCATGTTGATAGATAATGTTTCATAAGTGCTCAAGCCAACCCATGTGAGTTTTGAGTATTTGAGAGACAAAAGAGCTAAGCGATTTGATTTGTTCTTTGATGCAGCAATCTGGGACGTGTCCAGTATTCATACCGGACGTGTCCCAGTATTTGTCAAAGCAATTGTAAAATTGTTGTTCTCGGGTTGGTTAGTCGGGAGTTCCGGCGTGGGTCGGGAGTTCGACGGTCGGAGTCCGGCATGGGTCGGGAGTTCGACGTGTCGCACTCTCAGCCCGACTTGGAGGGTTCATCGTTCTGGTCATACCGGACGTGTCGGTATTAATACCGGACGTGTCCGGTATGGATGACCGAAGCCAGCGGCTAGTTTTCAAAAGCCGTGAGGGTCGGGAGTTCCGGACGTATGTCGGGAGTTCCGACGGTCGGGAGTTCCGACATATGTCGGGAGTTCCGACACCTCACTAACTTTAACTTCGATTACATGTTTTTCAAAATTACCGAGGGTCGGGGTTCGACTTGAGTCGGGAGTTCCGACGGTCGGGAAATCCGGCATTCTTCGGGAGTTCCGATGCCTCACTAACATCATTTGTAACTTAATTCTTTCAAGCATATGATGTGAGTCATACCGGACGTGTCCGTATGCATCCGGACGTGTCCGTATTGCAACGACTATAAAGCGGCTAGTTTTTCAAGGGGCTATAAATACCCCAAGCCTCCACCTTTGGAGGCTGCTGATTCTCTTGACTTAGACACACGTTTTTGAGCCTTGCCAACCCTCTCTTAGTGAGTGATTGATCAAACTTGCAAAATCAATTTGTGGGTTGAGTGAAATTCAAAAGAGAGCCATCCAACCACTTGAGCACTTGTGCATATTGTCAATCTCGTGATTCACATTTGTTACTCTTGGACTCTTGGTCCTAGACGGTTAGACGTCGCGGAGAGCACCGGAGATTGTGGTGTGCCTCGGAAAGTTTGTAGCAGTCGATTCGCCGCCTCGGAATCAATTAGTGGAAGGAGGAAAAGGAGTTGGAAAAGACTCGGCTAGAGTGACCTTTTGTGGTATCCTCTAGGGCTGACCTTCATTTGGGTCGCCCTGCAGCCCCCTCAACGGAGAGTAGGACTCGAACGAGTCCGAACTTCGTAAAACAAATATCGTGTCTCAATTCGCATTTCATTTGATATTTGTGTTGCTCTAGCACTTGTCTTGAGTTCTGTGTATCTTGATAGTTAAATTAGGTGATTGCAGTTTGGTTTGAAGATAGAAATCAAAAGGAGCAAGTTCGGGGCTGATCTGCAGAAATCGTGTATACCGGACACGTCCGGTATTCATACCGGACATGTCCGGTATTTCCTGCCTGCACTAAAAATATTTATTCTCTGTTCTAACTTGATGTTGCAGGGTTGTAGCTTCTAGATATATTCTTTATACCTTGTTTACTCTGTGGCTAACTTGTGAGGGGTGGTAGTACTCTTAATTTGGAGTTTCCATTTTGGAAACTCCCCTTTCTAATTGTTTCCGCATTTAAAGGTGTTAATTTTCAGAAACGCCTATTCACCCCCCCTCTAGGCGACATCCTAGGTCCTTTCAATTGGTATCAAAGCGAGGTTCTCACATAAAGCTTTACCGCCGTGAGAAAAGGATGTCGACGTCTATCGAGTTGGAGCCGGTGCTTCTCCAAAATGATGGTTCAAACTTTCTACCTTGGTCAATTCATGTACTCAATGCTTTTAGACATATTAGTCCTATTGTTGAGCATATTGTGTTTGCAAGCATACATCTTCCTATAGTTGATTGGAGCAACTATAAGAATTTATCAAAAGAGGAAGAGATATGCGTGCAACTCAATGCTCAAGCTATTAATGTCATTTTGAGTACATTGAGTGCAGAGGTTCAAGATGAGGCAATATTCAATGGACAACCACCTCCGGAGAGTGCT